ACCTCAACCTTCTGATTCACAGGTTAATGTTCAACCACTGAGCCACACCAAATGGGCTGTTAAAAATATTTAAGTCTATATTCATGTGGGTTATTTAGGTAGATTATGTTGTTGCCTCATGTATTTGGAAGTGTTCCTACCTGCTCTATTTTCTGAAATAGTGTAGGATTAGTATTTTATCTTCTTTAAATGTCTGATAAAATTTATTGGTAAAGCTATCCAGGCCTGAAGTTTTCTTTGTGGGAAATTTTTTTTTTTATTACAAATTCAATTTCTTTAATTGATATTGGGTCATTTACATTTTCTTTTCCTTCTTTTCTTTCTTTTGTATTTTTCAGAAATTTGTCCACTTCACTGGACAAGTTGTTTTTATTGGTATAAAGTTGTTGAAACTATCCCTTTAATATCTATATAATTCTATTAGCATTTTGGCTACATTAAAACTAAATTTTTGCACACAAAAATAAAGTAGATGACTAACAATGAATTAGGGGAAAATAAATGTATATGGCAGAAAAAAAGATATGTGTGTATGTGTATACATATATATGGTAGGAGCAAACAGACTAGTGGTGGAAAAAGGGAATTACCGTTCAGTGTGACAATTATGAAAGACACATAGAGAACACATAGGAAGGATACCCAGCCCAATTTGGGGAATTAGAATCATGATGTCCAAGTGATGAGTTAGGTCAGGGGTCCTCAAACTTTTTAAACAGGGGGCCAGTTCACTGTCCCTCAGACCGTTGGAGGGCCGGACTATAGTTTAAAAAAAAAAACTATGAACAAATTCCTATGCACACTGCACATATCTTATTTTGAAGTAAAAAAACAAAACAGGAACAAATACAATATTTGTATTTGCATGTGGCCCGCGGGCTGTAGTTTGAGGACCCTTGAGTTAGATCATTCAACCCCAGGTAAGTTAATATAATAAAACTTTTGGGCACTTAAAAAGCTGAGACTTAGATCTCAGATACAATTAGTTCACATTAATTATCCAGCTGTGAGGGCTATAGTCAACTGCTTGCCTCTTCCACTGGTATATCCTTAATTAAAAAACAAAACAACTTTGTTTTTAGGAAAATGATATGTTCATTACTTAAAAATTCACATAGAAAAGTTCAAAAGCTAAAAGTCCCTTGCAATTTGGCCAACATCCTTCCAGATCTTTTTGTACATGTAAAAACATATATATCCTATGTAATAAACAGCTAACATGCAAATGGTCATCACACCGTAATGGTTCAGACACTCAACACTGGGGAGAGAGGAATGGGGACCAACCAGGCACAAATGAGCTCGCGCGAGAGAAATGAGTACCAGCCAGGCTGCAGCCTGGGAGAGGGATAAGCCACATGCCCTGCGGTCTCAGGTGCCAGCAGCTGTGACTGCGGCCTGGGAGAGGGACAAGCTGTCCGCTCCGTGATCAGGTGCCAGTGGCTGTGCCTGCGCCTGTTGCCCTGAAGAGGGACAAGCCTCCTGCCCTGCGGTCCCAGGCACCAACGGCTTTGCCTGCACCTGCGGCCTGGGAGAGGGACAAGCTGCCTGCCCCGCGGTCCCGGGCGCCAGCGCCTGTGGCCCGGTAGAGAGACAAGCCGCCCACCCTGTGGTCCCAGGCACCTGTGGCTGTGGCCTAGGTGAAGCTGCCTGCCCACAATCCCCGTGGCTGCGGCCGGCCTGGGTGCCTGTGGCTGGCCAGAGGAAGGGAAGCCTGGGTCATGGGTGTGGGGTGAGGCAGAGGTGGTTAGGGACGATAGGGCCAGCATGGGAGCAGTTAGAGGCAATCAGGCAGGCAGACAGGAAGAAGGGTTAGGGGGCGATCAGGCAGGCAGGCAGGCAAGTGGTTATGAGCCAGCAGTCCTGGATTGTGAGAGGCAGTCAGACATCCCCTGAGGGGTCCCGGATTGGAGAGGGTACAGGCTGAGCTGAGGTTCCCCCCGCCCATGTGCACAAATATATATACACACATACACACACAACACATACTCATGTTGGTATTATACTGTTCATACTGATCTGTATTCTGCTTTGTTTCTGGAATAAATACCCAACATATATGCTATGGATACACTTTCATATAAAAAGAGATTGACATCATTGTTTTTAATGGCTCAAGGATATACCATTATATGTATGCACCATAATTTAATGTCTTAGTGATGGCACTTATTTCTAGAATCACCTGTCATAAAAAAGGGAGTGAAGAACATCCTTGTGAATATGTTTTTAAAAATATATATATTTTTACTGATTTCAGAGAGGAAGAGAGAGATAGAAACATCAATGTGATGAGAGAGAATCATTGATTGGTTGCCTTCTGCATGCCCCCTACTGGGGATGGAGCCCACAACCCAGGCAATTACCTGTGACCCTTCAGTCAGCAGGCCGAGGCTCTATCCATGGAGCCAAACTAGCTAGGGCTTAATTGTTGGAGCACATGAGACTTGGTTGGAAAATTTGTAAGGAGGACATTCTGAGAAAAGGGAAGTGTGCGGAAGGCTGCCTGCCCTGTTTATTGGAATTCCGACTTGGGGAGTGCCGAAGGTGGTGCCCCTAATTATTCTTTGATCTTTCCAAACAAGTCTGTGCATGTGCAGACCCCCGGGTGTTTACTGGAATCCTTATGCTTAATCTTACGAGTGTCCTTGCTTAAAGGACACTACAAACACATGTGTCCTCCCAAGATTACTTACCTTACTGATTGTATCTAAAAGCTAAACTTATCTCAAACTGCTGCTACAATAAAAGCCTAACAAGGCAGGCAATGGAGGCTACCTGGTTCCTTTAGTCTGGCAGTCCCTTAGCCCTCTCTTTCACAGCAAACATGGTGTTAGAGTAATCCACTCATCCTTCACTCAGGGTCTGGCTGGTCAGCTCCGACATTGAATCTGTTTTCTTTTAGCTTTTTTCCTGCAGTGGTTGTCAACCTTCTGGCCCTTTAAATACAGTTCCTCATGTTGTGACCCAACCGTAAAATTATTTTCGTTGCTACTTCATAACTGTAATGTTGCTACTGTTATGAATCGTAATGTAAATATCTGATATGCAGGATGGTCTTAGGCAACCCCTGTGAAAGGGTCATTCAACCGCCAAAGGGGTTGTGACCCACAGGTTGAGAACCGCTGCTTTAGAGCAAATGAGATTGTCGAGGCAAAGATTAACGCTTATGTTAAATTTTGGTAAATTAGGTTGTACCAATTTCAACTCTACACCAAGTTTTTGTTGTTGTTGTTAATCCTCACCTGAGGATATTTTTAGAGAGAGTGGGAGAGGGAGAGACAGAAATATCCAGGTGAGAGAGACACATGGACTGGTTGCCTCCTGCATGCCCCCCCCCCCCCCCCCCCCAAGGAACCTGCAACTGAAGTATATGCCCTTGACCTGAATCAAACCTGGGACCCTTCAGTCCACCAGTGACGCTCTATCCACTGAGCCAAATCGGCTAGGGCTATGGTTTCATTCTTTAATTCCTTGATCCATCTGGTACTTATTTGAGAAAGTAGATGTAAAGCCTGTCCCACTGACCATCTTTTCCCCTTGACCAGTGATTTGTAATGTGCATTTTACTGCTGACCTCCGAGGCTTCTGGAGACAGACTGGCTTCCACACTGACGAGTAATGGCTCTGGGTAACGCTGTAGAATCGAGACACTAGAGGGTTTTAAATAAGATAACCCGAAAAAGTGCTCCAGTACTTGATAAGTGCTCAGTAAATGTGAATTATTATTAAACACTCACACATACACAGCAGTTTATTTCTGGATTCTAGAATCTGTTCACTGATCAGATTAACACCCCGGTACCCAATTCCCTGTCACATCTAATGGCTCCTCTTTGCTCGTTTCAACAAAATACGGTCATAAGTCAGCTGCCTTTCTGATCATAAGGAGAGCCCCAAAATGTTGACGTTGGGGGCAAAAATAAGCCGTGCTTCACAATGCAGTGAGGATCAAACCCAAACCGAGGCCCGGAACTAGCGTTGCGGAGGGATGGGGAGGGTCAGCCCCAGGGGACGGGAAACCCGACGGGCCACCTGATTCTCGGGGCGGGGTGCGGCGCGGGATTGAGGTGGTACTGCCGCCACCCCGCTACCACCTGCTCGGAAAGGCTGACCCTCCTCATTCATTCGTGGGCACGTGCCCGACGCCCTTCTCCAAAGCTTGCCCCTCTGCTCCCAAGTCTAGTTACAACCTGCAGTGCAGACCAACCGGGGCCCGGGCTGGAGGGCAGTCCGCGGTGGGCTGTGAGCAGGCGGCCGGGGCGGGGCCGGTGGACTTGCTGGCCCCGCGGTCCCCGAAGGCCAGCCGCGCCCCGCCCCCACCTGAGCACGGAGGCGGGCGGGGTGGCGGCAGGACCACCTCGGAGCCCTCCGAGCAGAGTGTGGTGAGAGCGGGCAGAGGGACGGAGAAACGCGAAAAGGGGAAACATCATCGGCTTCCGCTCAACCCCGCGCCGCACCCAGCCCCGAGAAGCAGGTGGCCCTCGGGCTCCCGTCCCCCGGGGCTCGGGGTACCTCCGCGTCCCTCAGCGGCCGCCTGGGGGCGTGGCTCCGGCGCAGCGTCGCCGCCGTAGAGGCTGGCGGCCCCGCCCCGGCTCGCTCGCTCCTTCCTTTAACGGCCTCGGGCCGCCGCGTCGGTGACGTCACCGAGGGGGCGGGACTTCCTGTGCGTGCGCCCCGGGGTCCCGCGACTCTGGCCACCCCTACGCCTGGAGGGCCCGCGGGTGGAGGTGGAATTCCCGCCGGACGACGTGCAGGGCTGGCCCCGCACCCCTGAGAGGGCCGGCCCGCCGCGGAGGAGCGGGGCGCTGCTCGGCGGCCGCGTCCCTACCCCGGGAGCTCTCCCGGGACCCCTCACCTTTCCCCGCGGGGGTAGCCCGACGGGCCGGGTCGTCCTGCTCCGCCTGGTCAGCCCGCGCCGCGAGCGGCCTCCCGGACTCGCCCGGCGTGGAGAGCTGGGCGCGCACCCCGCACGTGGGCCCGGCTCCCTTCGCCCCAATGCCCCGGCGAGAAGAGCTGAGTGGGTGCCGGTGGCTGGAGCTGTTGGAGGGGTCCCTCGGTGGCGATCGGGGCCGGCACACAGGTCACTGTTCGTTTCCTGTCCGCACGTTGCAAGGCTGTGTGTGAGTCTGGTACGTACCCTCGTTTTAGGGGGACGCTATCTTGTCCGTATGTTGGAATCCTCATTCTTTTCTGTTGTTCAGAACTTGCCCTCGGTTTGTTTTTTCCTCGTCTTGTAATTGAGCGGGGGTTGGCAGCGCAGGCTGTTCCGTAGCAGTGCAGTGCACGTGAAGCTGGAGCTTTTTGCTGCACTCCCGCGCCGTGCTTGTGCAGCCAGGTTAGTAACTGGCTAAGTATGTGGCACCTCCGGTTTAATTTGGGATGAAATTGCTATGCTACCATTTTCCTTGCCCGTGAAGACAATGTTAAACCGTGTTGTTGGCTGCCGTTACAGAGGTACGTCTAGAAGTATGTCATGAATGCTGGGCTTGAGTGGCCGCTGATACATCCTTAGTGTCCAGCTTTTGACCATAATAATGGGGCACTTAGCTCGTAAAAATGCCCACTGCTAAGTACTTTAAAATACTGTGGTCATTAGTTGTAATGATGAAGCTATTTCAGTAAAATCTCAAAGAAGTCTAGGATAACAAGAAACTTGTTCATAGTTTCTCATATAGTTTGTAATGCGTTCAGACTATGAGCACCAAATACTTGAGTAGATCTAAAACCGAGCAGGCTGTGAAAGCATTGCTTCTGTTACCAAGCAACAGCTTCGTAAACAAGCCTAATATTCAGCTAGAATATAATTAAAAGTATCCTACAGTTACCTGGATTCAGAATTCTCTAAGTTCATGGGTGGTTACAGTTAACAGTCACCTTTTATATTTTGGTTTGATTTCAGACTCATTTTGTTTAGAACAGTGGTTCTCAACCTTCTGGCCCTTTAAATACAGTTCGTCATGTTGTGACCCAACCATAAAATTATTTTCGTTGCTACTTCATAACTGTAATGTTGCTACTGTTATGAATCGTAATGTAAATATCTGATATGCAGGATGGTCTTAGGCGACCCCTGTGAAAGGGTCGTTCGAGCGCCAAAGGGGTCGTGACCCACAGGTTGAGAACCGCTGGTTTAGAATGATGAGAATGCTTTAAATTTGTGTCATACAGGTTCTCCAGAGAGTTGCAAATGAATTTGATTACCCTTTGATTATTTAGGACAGAGTATGTCAGGTGTTCCCTTTCCTTTCGGTATTTTCTTTTGTAACCTGATGAAGTGTGCAGACTATTATATTAAGGAATTTTCTCAAATAATGGAGTAATGCCAACTTAGGGTTACATGGAGCTTTAGGAAATTGAAACACTGATTGTCCACAGGTGGTTTCTAAGCCTCCGTTTAGCCAATAAACATCATTCCTCAGTCATTGAATCCCAAATGATATAATTTTTTAAATCCTCATCACTCAAGGATATTCTTACTGATTTTAGAGAGAGGGGAAAAGGGAGAAAGAGAAAGAGAGAAACATTGACAGGGAATCGAATCTGCAACTTAGATATGTGCCCTGAACGGGAATTGAACCCACCACCTTTGGTGTATGGGATGATGACGCTCCAACCAACTGAGTGACACTGGCCAGGGCTAAACTTTAATGATATAATTTGCCTGGTAAATAGTTTTCAGAGCATTTTCCATACTATTTGGAATACAGTAACCTTTCAGGTATGTAAGCAAGTATGTGAGAACATTTGAGAAACAGAATCAATGACTTCTTTGAAATCAAGCTATTAGTAAATGGGAATTAGAACTTGAAATTTAATGTTCTTTATATCCTGTCCTTACTGTATTGCACAAATCCATAGGCTTCATTTTAGTCCTCTATCCCTTTTTCTTCCCCAATTGCTGATGCTGAAGTAATTGAAATATTCAAGTTGGTCAAGACAAGCAGAGAAGAAGAATCAAAATCTTGAGTAATCAGATGTCAGCATTTTGTCATGGGAAGTTCTAATTCAAGCTTAGAAGAATGAAATCTTAACAGAAAGACTAGTGAATTGTCAGAATTCTTTGTGTTTTCCATGTGCTGTCTCTGTCTAAAGTAAATGTTTTATTTTACCTTTGTCATACATAATGTATTAGGTTCAGTGAGTAATTTTATCAAGTTGTCTAATCGGTGTGTATTTTTAGGGAATGTGTGTATGTATCTATGTAAAAGAATTTCCAGAAGTACATTTTCCTACTGACTAATGTTCACATTTCTTAACCTGGACTCTTAAAAGTCTCTCTGCACTCTGCGTTTTCAGGTTTTTATATTTTTTATAGAAAAGCTATGATCTCACTCATCACACTGGTTTCTTCACTATCCTCTAAACCTGCTATGTGCTTTCTCTCTTCTTTACCAGTCTTCTTGTCATTCTACCTACCTGACCTTGTTAGATAGGGCAAGAGTCTCAAGGTCTGGGCCATTCTTACTAAATGCTATTCTTGCTAAATGTTAAAATGTAGCACAGTATTTTGCAGACCAGTTATCAAAAGGATGAGATTGACAGGAACCTAACCCAATAATAAGTGAAATCAACTTGTAACTTCCCAAATAGTGTATATAAGCAATGGCTAATCCTCCCTTGCTGCAGGTAAATAAAGCTACCTTGCATTTTTTACTAGAGCACCCCAAATGGTGAATCCCTTGAGTTCCCCAAAGGGGTCGCGACTCACAGGTTGAGAACCACTGCTCTAGACAATTTCCCGCTGGTCTAGACAATTTATTGTTTGTCTAGAGCAGCGGTTCTCAGCCTGTGGGTCGAACGACCCTTTCACAGGGGTCACTTAAGACCATTGGAAATCACATATATAATTACATATTGTTTTTGTGATTAATCACTATGCTTTAATTATGTTCAATTTGTAACAATGAAATTGGGGTCACCACAACATGAGGAACTGTATTAAAGGGTCGCGGCATTAGGAAGGTTGAGAACCACTGGTCTAGACAGAGGGATTTGGGCTAGGACAGTGGTCGGCAAACTGCGGCTCTTTGCCCCCTTGAGTGTGGCTCTTCCACAAAATACCACGTGTGGGCGTGCACGTACAGTGTGATTGAAACTTCGTGGCCCATGCGCAGAAGTTGGTATTTTGTGGAAGAGCAACACTCAAGGGGCCAAAGAGCCGCATGTGGCTTGAGACCCACAGTTTGCCAACCACTGGGCTAGGAGTAGTAAATTGTGGAGAAGTGACTAGAGAGCAGTTCTCAACCTGTGGGTCGCGACCCCTTTGGCGGTCCAATGACCTTTCATAGGAGTCGCCTAAGACCATCCTGCATATCAGATATTTACATTACAGTTGCTACTGTAATGTAGCAACATTACAGTTATGAAGTAGCAACGAAAATAATTTTATGGTTGGGTCACAACATGAGGAACTGTATTTAAAGGGCCAGAAGGTTGAGAACCACTGGTAGGAAGATAAGGATTTAACAGGGTTTGTACAGATTTCTGAGCTTTGATTTCTCATTTCTGATGATAGAATGTCTTCTTCCTTACAGGGAGGGCACCTTTCACATGGGAGTTTTATCTCCTACTTTCAGGAAACTAAAGGAGGGTCAGAGCGCCCCTCTTGAACTTGCTGTTTCTCCTGTGCTTTTAACTCAAAGTAATCAGCATACCCAATGGCATATTTTGGAGTGACATTTTCTGAACTCCATCACCTCCAAAATCCTACAATATGTATTTATCAGACATACTCACTTGATACTTATACTTTATATTGTATTTTTAAAAATCATTTCTATGTATGACTTGGTCCCTAACTAGATTGTAAGCTCCCTAAGGGCAAGACACCAGATCTCAGTGCGCTGTATCCTTAGCCTCTTCCAAGCAGAAGTTGCTGAATAAATTTAGAGATGAGAAATGTGCATTTTTACCCCCCCCCCCATCTTCCTTTTATAGTGTAGTGTAAGTAAAAGCAAGTTTTTTTGAGTAACTGAGGAAGGGCAACTGTAAACTATAAGAAAGGGGATTAATGAAAGGAGATTCATTGGAATCAGAAAGAAAAGGTTCTGTTCCTAGAAAGTGTGAATATTTGAGAATTTCCCATGACATTATCACTGGTAAAGACTCCCTCAGGAGGTCACTACTCTCTAGTGGTCTTGGAGAGTTTGGTAAATTTCCTGGTTCCTCCTTAGAAGCTTCCTTTTAAAAATACTTCCTTCCCACCTCCCTTGTCTCTCCTTTCCCTCTCCCTCCCCCTCCCCCCTCCCCCTTCATCCCCCTCCCTCCCTTCTATCCCTTTCTCCCTATCTCCCATTTTACCTCTTTCCATTTTACTTTTTACCTAGTCAAGACTAATGAAATTATGTCAATACTTTCATCTGGTCCTTATAAATTAGCAATTCTCTTAAGTTTTATATTTTTCTATCCAGATGCTTCTCTGGTTCATGGAGAGATCACAGACAGTGCAGTCTAGCCCTAATCCAGGAAGAAAGCAATTGAGGAAGTTAGAAAGTACCTAGTTATTTGCTTTCTGCATATTGTAACTTCAAATTGCTTTTGGATTAAAATTCATAGAGTTATGAGGAACCTAAACCTAGCCATTCTCTTTCGGGAAGTGCCTTTCACCCTCACATAATGTCTTTAAATAAATTCTAATTAATTTTTATAGTCTTGCTGTAAATCCTATATCTGATGTTATAACAAAGAGTTACTTCACTTATTGGTATAAAAAGGTAAAGTTTAGTCTCAGAGTACTTTTATAAATCTTCGTCTGATTCTCTGATTTCTTGTTGAGTTTGTTGACCTAGCTTCTGAGTTGTTTGTTGCCCAGTAACACAATTGCAGTATAATTTACCAACCATTGAAAATATTGGCGCTGGACTACAGAAATTTTCCTGATGAGATTGAAGCACATATTTCTAGTGCTCACATTCAATCTGTCTTTCTCAACTGAATAGCATTTGGTTGAAGGCAGGCATTTGGGGTATGTTAAAGGGCATCCTATATAATAAAAGCCTAATATGCAAAGTGTCCCCTCGGGTAGTCGTTCGACCAGGAGACAGGGGATTTAACTGCTCGCTATGATGTGCATTGACCACCAGGGGGCAGTGTGGAACATGGCAGGCATAGGCGATGTGCTGCGACCTCT